CAGATTTTTCTTTTTGTCCCGGTTTGTATCTTGCTATTGGGGTCTCCAGCTGGGCTAATATATATATATATATTCACACAACTACATTCAGTTTATTGAACCACGATGCTGGCAGAATGGGGTCTTGGAAACGAAGTAGGCAAAACTCATCAAAGCTCTGATCCAATGATCTACACACGTGGTCATGATTTCGCAGGAAAAGAAGCGAAACGGTTCGAAATCTGAGTGTCACTTGTCAGGTTATGTATCTCTTTATGGTTTGGTCAGCTATGCAGATGTATTCTAATCACAGCTAAGGGAAGGATGAGAAGGGCACCTCGGCCCATGCTCAGGCGATGGGTGCGCGTGCGCCCCGCGATTCTACATCGTGCAGAAGAGTGGCTGAATGAGCACTCAGAGGTGTGATGTGCCCAGTATTCTTGTGTTTTGGAAGAAACCCAGATCAATTCAACAAGAAACATAAGAATGGTTCACTATAGTTCACTTTGTCCAATTTGTGCACAAGAACAAACAAGCAGGGCCAGAATTCTACGTACCAAATGGTTTGAAGATTGAGCATAGGTATTATATATGGAATGGTTTACGCTGCCAAGACATGGTTAATTCTCGGAACATGAACATGCAGGCCCACTTATGCTTCTACTCGTAGAAGGATATGCCCACTTTAGAAGTTAGAATAACTACATTCCGATATCATATGACGTCTGCTGTATTTTTGGTATTTGCTTTGTTTTTCACCGTGTCGGAAGGCAGCAGGGGTCCAGTATGGTGATATGTGTCTCATTTCCCTTCGTTTTCTTTTGGTTGTCTTGCTCAGACTCCATCAGGGTGGCCGCCGATTGGCAGTGCATCTCCGTCGCACGGACAAGTTGGAGCAATGCAGGCCAGAGTACAGTCATGAGTCATGGTGTTTGTGGCCTGACTGAGTCAATGAGAGGATGCATACAAGGCATTCAAAGCTGACAAGCATCTCAAAGGCGCCTCAGACGGCAGCCATTCGCTCATAAACTTCGATGCTTTTGGCCCTGAGAAAACACTAAGAGCTACATCTAAGAGCTACACTCGAACCACTTGAACGAAGCGCTGCTTTGCTTCACATTTGAGTTCAACCATCGCTGAGCTAGGAAACAACCAAGAGCAGCACCTATTCTATTCTGATTCTAATCAAAAAGCCTTTTTGCAACCTTTGCATACCATCATATACCATCGGCCAATCGCAGCGGGCAACTGCTTGACTGGTTTGTTCTTCCTACTTCGTCAGCAGCCATGGGTTGTGGTGGCAGTGTGGCTGCCGCGGAAACTGTTACAAGAAATTCTGGCGAATTGCCATACTGGCCACTGGAGGAGAAAACCTTGGCGAGTTGCCTTGTCGGACCAGACAGTTTTTTGGAGCTGACATTGCATATTCAGAGTCGTTTAGTTGGAGCCCAAACTGGTCATTCGGGTCTTCCTACCACCTTTGTACTTCAGTATTCAGAAGGACAGTTGTCATATGTTGTCACCGTTTTCATGCACTTTTGATGAGCAGTCATTGAATTGAATACATGCGCGATGTGTACCCAGCGATGCTGCATTTTCTTAGGATGCTGATGGGGAGCCATGGAAGCTAATGAGTAGATGATGAATAAGGTTGCTACTTACCATAGCTACTTGTCACGGGTTGTAGGGTGTAGTGCTCAAGGTACATAGAACGAGATTGTCATGTTTCAGTGTCAATAGCTCAATCAATCGCCTTGATTATGGTCTTTCGGGCTAACGTTTAGCTGTCTTCCGTTACTTTTGTTCCTTCATTTTGTGAGGAGCCGGAGCTATCTCGAGATATATCCACCCAGGAACGTTTAAACAAGCTGCTTGCAAACAGGCGCGGTGGAGAGATCAATCAAGTGCCATGCCGCCAGATCCGCCAAGACAGCATTTCTTTTCAACGTTAGAGCCACCGCAACTAAGACACAGATTCAAACACTCCATCGGTGTTACCTCTTTACATCGAGGCCACAGATGCTTTTTACATTGCTTTCGGTTTTGAAGTCATCGTGGCAGCTCACCGCTGAGGCCTTACTTGGAGTCGGAGGATCACTTCTTGAACTCCTTTGTGTGCAGATGTCGCGAGGCGATCAAGGCCCAGACGAACGGCGCCGAGGCGCATGATGCCTTGGACCACTTGGCGCTTGGATTGGCCAGTGACTTGTCATATCTTAAAGTGAAGGACACGGACATGGAATATATAATGGATGCAACGAATTTCGGATGTAGCTGATGTAGCTCGATGATGGGTCTCAGAGAAGGGACTCGTAGCCCACACCGCAACAAGTTGAAGGAGTGTTAGTGTTGAAGGGTATGTGAGCATATGAAAAGATTGCGTCCCAAGTCTTAGGCTGCATCCAGTTTACGAATTCCCGCTTGAGTTGCACGGGGTGTTTGCCCGTATGGGCATGATGACCAGATTTCGAAGAGCTTCATTCCTTGAGTCCCAGGATAAGATCTAGGGGAGCCATCTCCAAAATGGAAGAACAAATGTAAAAACCGTCCGATCATGTCCGATCTGTTTCAGCTGCTACCAATGAAAAGACACGATTAAATAGATTGACACACTTCTTGCAACTAGGATCAACTATGTAGGTCCAAAAGACGATGTGGACTTACTGATCTACACAAGTCAGGACTTCCAAGTGTAGTTTTACTAGGCGATCAAGGCGTTTCTTGGTACTTATCAGAGATTTCTGGACTTTATTGTTTGAGGTGAAGAACGACTTGCATACGGAGCCTTTGCCCGATTTGACAAGAATCGGAACCATTTCTTGCAAGGCATCGAGATTGAGTCTTGCACAAGCTCAGTTTTTTTGTTGTTTGACTCTTCGTTTCTCCTCCGCAACCAATATAAATGCTGTGAGACTAGATTTGTGGCTCTGGTGATTCCACTGGTGATGTCAAGATCTTGACAATTTAATATAACATAGGGCGATCAATGCAGTTATATACTGTAATATAAACAAGGATGCCTGTTCCACCTATACAAGAACTGGTAGCAGAGGACAAGGCAATGATGCACAGTGGGAGTTCTCAAGGCCCTCACTGGAATGTTGGACTTCCAAAGCCATCTAAGTTTTGTTAAACACAAAGTGGTGGTTCATCATTGCCAAGAGTACTGTTCATATGAGATTCTGTTGTTTGCAATATAGTTTGCAACCTCAGGAGTACATGCTGGACTACTTGGGATTCCCCCACCAGCAAGAAGACGTTCAAAGATTTGTTGCGGCCGTTGACAAACTGGAAACCGATGGAAAGATCTCACCAGACGAATTCTTGAAGGTCGTTGGCTCTTTCGGCGGTTGCTGCAAGCTGTTTGAGATGCGCCAGCTAAGCTTTGATGCAACAGATTTTACAGCTTCACCTCTCCCAGAAACTATGTCAAGGGCCACCCGTTAGGGGCTTTTCTTTGCTTTCCTGACTGGCCAGAACTTGTCTTGCCAATTTGCATGACTGTTAAGTCCTGTAGAGCTGAGATTTTCGGACGTTCGCGACTTTTGAATCGAAAACAAATCGAAGACAGCTTGTGAGGTCGAAAACAAATCGAAGCACGCGGTACTGAATTGGAAGTGCCCGAAGATGTGAAAGAGAGCGACTTGCGATGCTCGGTGGCGTAGCGGGTCCATGCCTTCTCCCCTGATCTTTCGTGTTCCGAGATGTTCCTAGCTTTGTGGCTTGGAAAGAACACAAAACATTTGGGAAGGCGACAAATGACAAGTTGTAGCTTCTCTGGACTTCTTCCTGATGCTTTTTGGCAATGTGAACCAACCTCAACTCGGGATAGACAGCCAGACTCCAAGCAGACACTTGTGGCGTTGCACCTGTGGGCTCATGGTGCTATGGCCAGTGCCTCTCCTGAGCTTAGGATGTCAATTGCTTTCCTGTGGCATTTTGGACGATGAGCTGGCAACGTGGAAGCCAGTGGTCAGTTCTGCAGTCTCTTGCCCAACCATGGGCTAAGTGTGCACTTTGCTTTTTAGAAGCCATTGAATTGGCCTAAAGACTCAGGACAAAACATCTCGGTTCGAATCGGTTAGAGCTTTGTTCGAGGACATGAAGGCTACAGCCAGCTTGCAACCTTGCCAAATGGAAGCACTGCAGCACGTGCGGAACTTGGCCCGGATCAACCACGAGAAGGCGCAGCTTGGAAGCAGGCCGCAAGACCAATGCCAAGGGGAAGGTGAGCTTCTCACAGAGAATGGGGAGACATGTTGAGGAAACGCAACGTGGAAACCATGTTGTCCTAGCCATATAGAGATTAGACATGATTAGAATCATAAAATCAATCAATCTTCAACTCGCTCGATGGGCTATACATATTTAAATGTTCAGTGCCACCTCTTCGGATTTGAGCACCAACTGATTTGATTCTACTGCCCAGGCTTCCTGAGCTCACAGAGAAGTTCCAATCAATGGGTTACAATGTGCAAGATATGTGGAGACTCGATGAACGTTCTGTTGTTTGACGAGATTGTTTCTAACGCGCTGGCCAGCAACATTATATAAAAGAACCGGTATGAATTGGTCATTCATTTTGTGCTTGCCTTTGAAGAGTTGCATGCTTGTCCTTTGACACCAGTATTTTTGTTGCTCGTTGTGGCATGGTTCTCTTGAACACGAACACCTGTAGGATGACTTTGGCTTGGATCCGCGAGCTGGCACCAATCATCATCCACATCAACCTGCCGGCTATCGGAGATTTTTTGGCGTATCTAAGCTCTACAGACTAGGGACCACCCTGTCAATTGATGGCCAAGACTCGACAAAAGGGTGAGCTTGGTTGCCATGGCATGCTAAGGAGGGACAGCCACTACAGGAATCAGTTTGAGACCCAGAACTCGGGTGGCCTGCTGGACGCTTGGCTATGCTAGACCGCTGCTCAGGCTCACTTGTATCTACAGGCTACATTCCCTAGATGCAAAAATATTTGGAACAGATAACTTGTGAATCAAACAAACATACATTGTACGTTTGAAGTTCTTGCTGATGGTTTGGTACCTTTGGCCCAAGGACTTGAATGTTCGCAACAGTTGGGAAGGATCCTTGTTCGGGCGTGCTTACGAGGTTGGGGTCTGTCGACGACTTTTGTTCTAATTATTGCTTCAGTACGGTCTTTGAGCAAATCTAGCAAATGTGGATTGACATTTGGAACACAGGTGCTTGAGGGTTCAAGACTTTTCACGAAAGCTAGCACCAGCTAGCTGGAGTTGTCCTTGCTTCAGCAAGTGAGGGGCTGGAATCCTCGAGATCGCCGCATCACGTGAAAACTTCATATGTAGGGGGG